AAAATGTCACTTTTTACCAAAAATGACAAAAATATTCACCAAAATTAGAGAATTGAAAATATCATCATGAAACGAACAAATCTGAGAGTGGACCACATGTAGTACCTATATATGTAATATAAAAACAATCTGACTTGCAGTTTTTAATAAGAAGTCAAAAATATCACTTTTTACCCAAAATGACAAAAATATTCACCAAAATTAGAGAATTAAAGATATCATTACAAAATAAACAAATCTGAGAGAGGTCCACATGTAGTACCCTATATGTGTAATATCAAAGCAATTGGACTTGTGGTTTTTAACAAAAAGTTGAAAATATCACTTTTCCCCGAATAGATTGTAGCTATTCCCACATATAGAACAAGGTAATTTCTGAAAGAGGTCAGAGTTCATACCTAATTCTGCCATAAGCAAAGAGCAAAGTAAAATGTTTTCTTCTGCGACATTATGATCCTAAAAAAAAAATAAACAATGGTCAATAGCAATGGTTAAATAATTCAAATTCTAGTTTTATTGATTGGGTTATGCAGCGCCCTCTGTAACCACATAAACCCAATTTAGTAAACTATTACTCATGATAATAGACTGCTTTCCCGGAAGTAGAGGATAAGATGTTTCGCATGTGTGCACATATTGTTTTGGCATACTAGTATAACGTAAACTTGCACGCGTGATATTGTGCTTCTGGGTGTACCAATCGACTTCACAGAAATAGAATTCCCATCTATCGACTATCAGAAAACTGACATGTTTGTATTTCCTGCCATGACAAAGCAGGAGTTTATTTGCACCCCAGTCTCGCTATTTTCAGTCAATTTCCTTTCATGGAATAAATTTTTACCGTTTGCATTGATTGAGGGCGCTTTAATTACTAACACTTATGTATGTAATTATCTTACCAACAAAACTCGAATTGCCATAATGGCTGCTGCTCCGGTTGCCACGGTAGCATCCATTAATATCACATGATCTTCGCTAATGTCTTTAGGTAATCTTAAATAATGTAACTGCATATGAAAGAAATATAATACATCGTCATTTGGTGCAACACATGGCATAGAGGGCGTTTCATTTATTCTGATGTATTGATGTTCATGTACAGATAGTATTGTGTCATTTCGAAATTATGAAGACAGAAAATGCTTCCAAATTTACAATTCACAAAAAGACACTGATGTTTCTGATGGAATAAAGAAGATGCCTTTTTCAGCCAAGTGATGTCAGTCCATTAGCCAGTCTTGATCCCTGCCAACTACAACAAACAAGCAATCAACCCATCAAACAAACAAACTAACAAACTGTGCTTACCTCTGGTTCTCCAGTCTCGGAATTTGTCTGAATTAGAATTTTCCCGACTCTGATATCTTTACAGACTTCACAAAGTGCTTGTTCCATTGTCTCACCCGCACGTAAAATTGCCACACCGCATATCTACAAAAAATACTAATAATCATTACAACAAATTTCAGTAATAATTTCAGTCATATTTTTGAAAAATAAAATGATTTTTAATACTACGAAATATACTTTATGATCTGTAAGGTTTTATGAAGAGATAATCATCAGATACTCAATTATCTCCTCAGTCGGTTGTCAAGACAATTATCAGGGGTCAGAGGTCAATACTGCAAACCAGTTACTAAATATTCATGTAATGAAAATCTTACACGTTTACCGCTGAATCGTTTTCCTTCATACGTTGTGCCCTGAGGTGTCTTCACTGTAACATTCTAGAAAAACAATTTCAACACGTATTTCAATTTGTTGAATTATTTCATTGATTGACTAGAATGGTAGAAATGATTTGATTGGTTATTTTGAATGGTACCATCGATTTAACCGGTTACCTCAAAGGGTAGCAATGATTTGATTGGTTATTTTGAATGGTACCATCGATTTAACTGGTTATCTCGAAAGGTAGCAATGATTTTATTGGTTATTTTGAATGGTACCATCGATTTAACTGGTTACCTCGAAGGGTAGCAATGATGTGATTGGTTATTTTGAATGGTACCATCAATTTAACTGGTTACCTCGAAGGGTAGCAATGATTTGATTGATTATTTTGAAGGGTAGCAA